TTTTTTTTCCTCTTTTGTCAATAAATTTGCCATGTGCTGATAAATGAGAACATCTCCTGAATTCTTTCTGAGGGACCCAAAACTCCACACAACTGAATGCAAACATTAGCATCTATATTTGTTTTTGAAATCTTCATTTTCATCTTGGTTAAGTGGATAATTGGTATTGTTTCATACTGATCCTGAGCCCTTTCGGTGAAGTATCCAAAACTTTTTGATATTTTTCACAAACTTCCCCAAATCAAATTCTAAATGAAGTCTTTTTGACCCTTAACTAAGAATTTCCAGAGGTGCCCTGGAACTTCCCAGATTTGTTCTCTCTCATTAAAAAAAAGGTTTATTTCATATGTTCAATTACATTGGGAACTTTGTTAAATCAGAAGCAATACTAACTCTTCTTTTATGTTGTGTCTGTATAGGTATTTAATATGTATTCTAGAAATTGTATGAATTTCCTAGAGGTCAGATGTGTCCTGGTATAATGTCATTACATGAAATTCTAATTATCTAAAAATGTTGTACATCACAGAAATAAATTCTCTTGTCAACTGCATGATAATGAACCATCATCAGATCTTTTAACTTGGTCACTCTTGGCCTCCCAAGTGGTGCAAAGGAGTTAAGTCTCAAGCACTGTGAAGTTAGCAGTCACTGGAGCACTAGTTTGATCCTGGCCAGGGAGGGTGACCCACATGGCGCAGCAGACCTCCTGTCTTGCCTGCTGCTCCCCTTGTAACAGGGTGGTCCCTAGGAAAAGGAGAAGTTCTAGGTTCCCTGCCCCACCCAAAGGTAGGTGGAGCTGAGCAGAGAAGAAACTGCAGAAGAGGCTGAGGAAGGAAGGAAGCAGGATGGAGAGCCAGGAGACCTGGAGGAGGCACACAGAGCAGAGAGACATGTGAAGAAACTGCACTTGTCTTTTGATCCTGGACTGGTTGAAACAGATGTGGGTGAGAACCAGTGGGGAGGGTAACAATGGCAGCTTTTATCTTAATTTTGCTCTTTTCCTTCCAGACTTGTCTAGTTGTTTCTGATCCTTTTCTGTGGGTCCCCTCTGAAACATGCTTTAGACTTGTGTCAGGTTTTGGGGCCTTGCTCTGGGCCAATCCCATCTTGGTGGACTTTTACCCATGAGGGGACGGGAAAGTTTGGGTGCTTGATTTAGAAACTATATTCCTTGTCTTTTCTGTATGGTTTACTAATTGTATTAAAGTTCCTTTACAGTGAAGTCTTATATGTTTTGTGTTGATGCAGTGGGTGGCAGAACCTCATTAGAGCAGGCAGGTTTGGGGGTTCTGGGGTGCCCCTCTCCCTGCCCTATAACAGCCTCAGCAGTGTATTTCAGTCCATCTGCCTATTCTGCTCCCTACTCTGTCTCTCGTGAATCCTCTCACCCCCCGCACCTCTGGCCTATACCCCAGTTCTTGTATGTACAAATAAATCTTTGGGAAAAAAAATAAACTTGGCCACTCTTAAACTTTTCATGTTCAGGGGCCTCCCCGGTGGCACAGCGGTTGAGCGCTGGGTTGCGAATCTGCCTGCGGCCTCTGCGGCGCCAGTTCAATCCCCGGCTGCTCCCCAGCCACCAGAGGAGGGTCCCACGTGGCGCGCGGACCTCTCCTGCCGCCCGCTGCTCCCCTCAGCAGTGTACTTCGGTCCTTCTGCCTGCTCTGCTCCCTGCTCTGACTCTGGTGAATTCTCTCACCCTCCCGCAATTCTGACTGTACACAGTGCTTGTATAAATAAATAAATCTTTAAACAAAAAACTTTTCATGTTCACAGTTATTGTTTTGGCAAAAGCATTCCTACAAAAGTGTTTCAACCTTCAAGCAGTTCTTGGAAAGGACTTTGACAAGTGCTCCAGAATACAGGTTTCTGATAACTTTAAGATCATGAAACTGAACTGGATTTTGGAAGACCTTGTCTCTTAGCTATAACAGCAATTTGGTAAAGTATATTAGGGCTGGATCTTAAATTCTCACTTTCTCAAATATTCGGCTACGACTCTCCAAATTAATGTTTCAAATTCTCATGTACCCTCCTGATTTGTAATCACTGAGCACAAATGCTGCCCTTGATTCTCCTTGGAAGGGGACTATACCAGGTGTTCCTCACTTCCTAGGTGGCCCTCAAACTTCAGAGACTCGGAAGTCTGGGTACATATCTCTCAGCTAAAGAAGGCTCCACCTGGCTAGTCCTGTACAGATACTGAAGAGCTGCAAACCAAATTGATGAGGAAAAGAAGTAGCTGACATCAATAGACACAGCTGCCACCCAAGAGTCTGGTTGAAGACGTCATACTTTAACTCCCTCCTCCTCCCTCATTCTTCTGCTGTTAAGGCACCAACCAGGCAAGATAACCCCCCTCAGTATCCGTCAGGCCATTGCTGAGGCGGGGCGGGGGCGGAATAACCTCTCAGACTGTTGGATTTTCCACTATGCTGTTTCTGTAATTTTGCCTATCACAGCTCCTTCCTAATTTCCGGTGCTTCCATTTCTCTCAAACAAACTCAATCTCTGCTGTGTCAAACTCCCTAACCCTGAGAGTCCATTTCTGTGTCTCTGGCTAGCTACCCCAAACCCAGGGAAATTTGCATCCCAGTACTTTACAAAGAAAGGGGTAAACACCTGTATAGGTCATGGACCCTTAGATTTTACAAGCCTCATGGCTGCAACTGCTCCTTAACTCTTGAAGATATTACAGGATCTTCTTCTGCTGCCCAACCCAAATCCTTAGACTCTGGTCAAAGTTGTTATAGACCTTGATTGTCTTAGCTAAACAAGGGGGTGTCTGGTTTATAAACTCTACCATGTGCTGTACCTGGATGAACACTTCTGGAGAAGTTGGACCTCAGTTACATAAAATCACTGAAAAAGCCATTTGGCTTTAAAGGGTGAGTCCTTTGGAGGAGTCTCCTTGGCTGATTTGGGACCCTGGTTCTGAAGTATACTCCAAGCATTAGGAATTACCTGTTTATAGGGACATTGAATTCTCTCAAAAGTTCTTTTTTTTAAATATATTTTTTTAAGATTTATTTATTTATTTATACAAGCACTGGGTACAGTCAGATGCGCGGGAGGGTGAGAGAATTCACCAGAGCCAGAGCGGGGAGCAGAGCAGGCAGAAGGACCGAAGTACACTGCTGAGGGGAGCAGCGGGTGGCAGGAGAGGTCTGTGCGCCACGTGGGACCCTCCTCTGGTGGCTGGGGAGCAGCCGGGGATCGAACTGGCGCTGCCGAGGCTGCGGGCAGCTTCACAACCCAGCGCTCAACCGCTGCACCACCGGGTAGGCCCTCTCAAAAGTTCTTTATGCATACCTGCAGTTGCTGATCACCAAGCAAAAGATCTCCCGAGATTGTAACCTCAAAGATGCAGTGAAGAAAAGGATCGACTTAGAATGTGAACCTGAATTCATAATCTAGATGACCTGTGAACATCACGCAGGAGATCAGGGAAATTGAGAAGCTCTAGCTGGCAGTGACACTGATACCTTCAATTTTGATCACAATTCTCAGCAAGGTTGAGAGTATGATCAGGAGGGAGGAATTGCCAAAAATAGAAAAAAAACAAGCCCCCACAGGTGTCCTCAATGTCAGCATCCCCACCCAGATTAAATCCCTAATCTTACTGCAGTTTCAACACCTCTCCCAAAAGTGTGATCCGAATCCAATCAACATGGAGTTTCCATGATAAGACGCCTCCCTTCCACCCCCACCTATCCCTGAGGGAAAATGTTTTACCTGAAATAATCTTTTCTTTTGCTAATAACCTCATTCCACCTTCTTTGGGTCTATAAACACCCTCCATTTTGTGTAACCCCTTGCTATATTTAGATGAGATGCTACCTGATTCTTTTTTTTTTAATTTTTTTTAATGAATTTTTTTTTTTTAAGATTTATTTTTTATTTATTTATACAAGCACTGGGTATAGTCAGAAGCGCAGGAGGGTGAGAGAATTCACCAGAGCCAGAGTGGGGAGCAGAGCAGGCAGAAGGAACAAAGTACATTGCTGAGGGGAGCAGCGGGCGGCAGGAGAGGTCTGCGCGCCATGTGGGACCCTCCTGGGTGGCCTGGGAGCAGCCGGGGATAGAACCAGCGCCACAGAGGCCGCGGGCAGCTTCGCAACCCAGCGCTCAACCGCTGCGCCACCGGGGAGGCCCTACCTGATTCTTGAATCATTTAATCATCTCTAAATTTATGAATTTTGTTTTGTCCTCTAATTTCTTTTCATTATACCCTATTTTAAATGTCTTTCCCTGTGGTTCAAAACTGGGCACCAGACAATCACCACTTTTGCCAAACCTTTCCCGGAGAAGCAGAGCGCGGAAAGGTGCAGAGGAAAGCAAAGGCCTCTCCAGTCACTGTTGACTCTCCACACCATGGGGGCAGAGCACAGCCATTTGTTTTTATCTGAACTGGAACTTGGGGATATAAATAGTTGCAGGCTCTGCTATTATATCCTCCCAACCAGGCCTCCTAATTGAAACTGAATTTCTTCTAGGTGGGCTTGGATTCTAGCTGCACATCCCAAATTATATTCAGATGGACTCTGTGACTGGGACTAGGATTTTTCTACCACTTTCCACTTGGGAATGTACTTTCACTTTGTGTTACCTTACCTGAGGTCTACAACAACTTTGTGAAGTAGGCCCATGTTATGGGTAGAAAAAGTGGGGCACAGTATTTATCCAAGGTCACAAAGTCACTAAAGCATTATCAGTTAGGGTGTAAGTTAAGGGTACGATAATAATAGAGATAAGTACTGAACCACAATGGGAGTTCAGTCCTGTTTTCTCTTTTCCTGAAACATACTAAGCCATGCTTTTATGGATTTACAAACCACTTCTTGTTGCCAGCCCCCCCACTGCCACTCTACCCTATCCTTTCATAAATCAGAACCTAACCTCTAATACCAGAAACAATTTATTTGTCAATAAAGCAGATGAAGTTGTTACCCTGAGTGATAATCATGATAAAACAAAACCACAAGACCAGACCACATTTATGGATAAATATATTAGTAAATAAATACATTTCTTAACATAGTGCCTGATTCAAGCGTCTTTCTGTCTGGTTCAGATATAAATACCCATGTGGGTACCTTGGTGCTAGTTCCCCACTAATTTGAGGAAAGAAGATTCCCAGGTGGGGTCCTGTGCCCACTGTGCTCCCACATTCACATTCCCAATGGGATAACGCCTGAGGGGCCAGCAGTGGTCAAGCTGCCCTGAGGTGAATGTCACCCTAAGGAGGTCCCTCAGCCCTTGTCCACTCCATACCAGCTGCCCAGGCCAAGCTTCCTGCTCCACCTCCACTCTCAGATGCACGCCTTCCCGTGCACCCCTGGTTTGCATAGCTTATCCTGGGAAGCCGGGCCTCTAGACCATCGAAACCCAAGAGTTCCACATTACTTTTCCTTTGTTCTCCCTTGCTCCCATCCCTACTCTAAGAGAAAACTTCCAAGAAGAATTTCTCTTGTCCTTGTTCAACTGTAATTCTGCCTTTCTACCTTCACTCCATGACCTTTTCCTAGATGAAGTCCAGCAGAAATCCTTTTCTTTCTACTTACTTGGGAACTCCGACACAGGAGATTTCCAAGGAAGAATTACTCCCTCCCCACCACCCCCAAAGGAACTGGGCTCCTGGCTTGACAAGGGAATTTGACAATCAGAGGCTTCATCCCAGGTTCTGCCAGGTGCTATACCTTCTCAGGGACAGAACATTGCGCCTGGGCTTCCGGAAGTCACGACTCTGATTTAATATAGTGGATCTGAGAATTAAGGACAAGAAGGGAAAAACCTCCCTCTTTATGCACCAGGGTAAGCACTGCCTAAAGAAGCTTCAGGGTTCCCATTGTTAGGGCTCACAGTTCTCCTATGCTCCTCATCCTTTTGCACAGAAGGAAAAACGATAAGAGCCGGGGTTGCTGCTGATGCAGCAGCCTTACCGGGGAAGAACTAAAGCTGGCCTGCAGGACTCACCAAAGGAAGGAGGTGAGAAGGGGGCCTGCATTCAACTGGACCCACTGGCTGCTATGAACCTGAGACCTGGGGTGAAGAAGCCCTACTGGAGCTGGGGGAAGGAAGGAGCAGCACCTTTATAACACCTATTACCCACACCTAGCTTCCTGCTCTCACAAACAGCCTTTGGGGAGCCAGCCTACACAGGCACGAGTTAGACAGACCTGCTGCACTGCAGATGGGCTCTGCAGACAAGACCCGGAGCTGGGGACAGGACACATTCCCTGCCACCCACCAGCACCACTCTTTTTCCTGTGGTTCCAGGAAGTACAGCAAAAAGAAGGGTGTTTTCTGGGGTCTTTTCTTCTCTCAGGAGCAGGGTTCTGTGCCAGGTGGGGCCCTGAATCATCTGGAGCACACTCTTGTTTGGAACTAGGGCTGAACATCTCACACGGCCTGTTCACACAGTTCTTCAAGCTCTTCCTCCGAGCCTGCATTTAGAGAGAGGGGAAGAAAGAGGTCACTGAGGGTCAAGTCAGCCTCTTGCTCCTCCACCTGCAGGAGAGTATGACTGGGAGGGAACCACAGAGAGGGAGGAACAGGAAATATATCTAGAAAGGATGATAGACTGAAAGCAGAGAGGGCCCCCAGTTGAGACACAGCAGAGAAAACAAGCAAATCCAGAGAAAGAGAAACATATAGCAACCAGTGTATTATCAAGACTTACCATTCATTCATTCACTCACCCAATAAATATTTATTAAGCACTCATGAATCTCAGCTGCTTCCATGTGCCAAACAGAAGACCAAAAAGAGTAAGCAGGGATCTAAGAGGCTTGTAGGATAGGCTTGCATGCAAAGAGCAATTGTGCCAGTGGGACAGGACTAGGGTCACAAGAAATGAATGGAGGAAGGGAAGAGATTATGTCGAATTGGAGCAATCAGAAAGGGTTTCCTGAAAGTGGAGAAAAATGAGCTGGTTCTGCAAGAGTTGGCAAGAATCAGGTTTATGGGACAGGAAGGCAGCAGAGTATTGTCTGCAGAACAATAGGAAGTGTTTACTCAGTTTGGCTAAAGCATGGGGCAGAAGAAGGGGAGGGGAGAATGAAAAATAAGGTTGGGAAGGAAGATGGCAGCAGGGTGGTGCTAACGTCTTAGAGGCCAAATCAGGTTGAAGGTTTCTTTATTGTGAACAGAGTGTTGAAGGTTACTGGACTGTCTTTTTGAGGAAGATGAGCAGCATAGAGGGAGGTAAGCAGGGTAACTGTGTTGCCTGACACTAGGGGACACGACACTAGGCCTGTGGGAGCCAGGCTTCATGGTCTTGCAAGCAGGAAGGGAGGTGAGGCAGTCCTGCCTCAACCTCTACCCTGCTCCTAAGACACTGGTCCTGGGAAGATGATAAAACTAGCAGGGATACAGTGCATAGAAGCCAGTGCTGTTAGGTGTAAGGAGCAGGGAAAAGGAAGGTGCTGAAAGCAGTTCTGGGTTTGGAGATACTGGCAGCAATGACAGTACACATATGACAGGGTACAAATATGGAGCTCGGGCTCCTGGTTGACAGGTCCCAAGTCCTCAGAGGCTAGCCTGGGACCTAGCACACAGCAAACACACACTGCAGAAAGCAAAAAGTAGGGAAGAAATGAATGAATGAATAAATGAATGATAGCAGCCCTCAAGTCTTCAGGATCTTTGGGTAGAGGGGTCCTCGTAGCAATGGCTCTAAGCAAAGAGCTGTGTCATCCACACGATAGGAGAAGAGAGGAAAGAGTAGGAGTAGAAGGCTCTTGAAGAGGAAGAGAAAGATTTGAACAAATGAACACCAAGTTAAAGTTGAGGGTTTACATTATCAATATTGATAATAACAGATACACTGAGCCCTCCCCCTGCCAAAAAAAAAACAAACCAACAAATGAGGTTGGTCTTATTAATGAGAGTGCTTCAAAGGGAAACCCTAGTTGTCCCTAGCTGTTCTTTTATCCCAGAAGCAAACCTACAACCCATAGGGCTGCTGGGAACTACCCACGATCTCTCCCCTGCCACCCCCATCATCCATGTAGCTCTCCTCACAAGGCCTAGTATTACAGTTATCAGTAATCATTCCTCCATGTTCTTCTCAAGGACAAGGAATACTTCTTGGCCTTCTTTCTATTTAAAGTTAATATTGAGCTGTATGCGCTGGTAAACACTGAAACACTTCTGTTTAAGCTGCTGTCCCCAGCCCTCCCTGACCCCAGTGTTTTCTGATGTCTCATTTGCATTGGTATCTCCCTTGAGAACTCCCTATAATCTAGCAATTATAACCTGGCAGAGCCAGAGTGTTCTAGCTAGAATCCCATACTATGCCAGTGGTTCAATATTTTGAAAATTGCCCCTGCTATACCCTTCCATCAACCCCCTTGTTCACTAATTTCACCCATCTGCAGTATCCAGCTCTAGTCTCCTCTTCCCCACCACACCCGCTTTCCCTGAAACTCACCAGGCTGGGCTGGCAGCACTTGGCAATGTGGGTAAGGGCATGGCCTGCCCTCTGCAATGCCAGAACTCCATTGGGAAGGCCCTTCCCCAGATGGGCGTGGCTCCAGGGGCTGGCGTGGAGTCAGACACAACCACACTGGGTGTGAACTTGAGTAACAGGAGCCTGGGGATTCTGGTAGCAGCCTCCTGTCCAAGCCTGGATGTCCAAAGATCAATGGGTGGGCCTCCGAAGCCCAAGGGTATGCCAGGCTGGGGCCATAATGGGGGAAAATCTGGCAAGCTGAATGTGCAGTCAAGTCCTGGGGACGAGAGGTTAGGGTGGCATCTGAGTGACACCCCCGCTGTTTCCTCTGTGGATGTCGGACAGGGAGGCTGGATTTCTGCAAATGGAAGAGGCTGCTTGGATTGGGGCTAGGACTGGAGGCATCAGCTGGGCCAGGGGCTGGCTCAGTGAGGGCTCTGGGCCGTTGTGGGTTGGGGGGCTGTCCTAATGGGGCTGCTGGGGTGGATCTGGCAGCTTGGTGAGCAAGAGAAGGTGGCTCTGGCTGGGGTTGTGTCCGAGGAACAGAAGTCCTGGACGGGGGGACCCCAGTCTCTGGACCAGGCTTCCTGCCATGCCACTGCAAGCGCTTTTTGTAGTGGTGGTGCCGGTGGCGGTGGTAGTGGACATGGCTGGAGACCTGGGTTTCTGCAGCAAGCACCACTGAGTCCAAAGAACGGGGCCTAGAGGTCACACTCAGCTGAGTCTCGTCCCTCTGAAGCTCCCCTTCAGGGCTGCAATACACCAAAGGGTCAAAGTCACTGCTCAAGGAGCTGCGGAAGGTGGAACTGCTGCCATGGATGCCCTGCAGGCTAATGTCTGTGCAGTTGACCACTGAGTCACTTGAAGAGCCATGGCAAGGCCCCGAACTGGAGTCACTGGCTGGCCCATCTGCCAGGTAGCCACTGCGTTCTGTGCAGTAGCTTTCTCCAGACCCACTGCTGTCATGGGGCCTGGCCCAGTGTGGGGGCACTGGGCAAGCAGTAGGGTGCTGTGCTGAGGTGCATCGGAGGCGGCTCAAACCCCAGTCCTGTGCATAGGGGTGCTGGGCCACCGCTAGGTGCTGTTGCTCACTGACAGCCCGAGGGTGTGCGGGTCTGGGGAGGCGGTGGTGGTGCCGAGGGCCTGCACCTGGCTCCTGGGATGGTAGGAAGGGGCCGGGTGGTGGGGGCCGAGTCACAGTACTCCGGGAAGGGCCCAACAGGTAGGTAGCTGGGAGGTGGTAGTGCGCATGGCCAGGGTGCTGGCGAATGAGGTGAAGTCTCCGGCCTGGTTCCTGGTAAGATCGAGAAGGTCCCAGGGACTGGGGGAAGGAATCTCCCTCTGGAAGAAAGAATCAACAGCATAGATGTTTGATTCCACAAACCTAGAAAAGGTTCAGAAAAGTGTAATTGTATCCATCTGAGGCTACAGGGCAAGCTCAGTCAGAGTTTGGGGGGCAGAGGACTTCCCTAACCAGCCTGTGCCTTGAGACATCTCCGAGAATTCCACTGTGCTTCCCCCATCAGTGAACACTGGGGGGTTTCACCCCAGGACACTGTAGTCCATAAAGCACCTTTGGATGATTTAGAAAAAGGCTTTCTTTCCTTGAGATACTTTCCTGTCATCTTTTAGAAAAGGATCATAATATCGTGATTTTGAATATGATTTGAATATGATTCAGAACTTTATTGCCAGAGAAATGGAATAATAAACAATTATGACAAACAGAGTTGTCATAAAAATACAAATAATTTTTAGGGGCCACCGTGGTGGTACAAGGGGTTAAGTCTCAGCACTTTGAAGCTATCAGCAGCCACTGAAGCACGAGTTGGAATCCTGGGCAGGAAGCTGACCCACATGGCGCAGCAGACCTCTCCTGTCTTGCCCGCTGCTCCCCTCAGCAGTGGATTTCAGTAGATCTGCCTGTTCTGCTCCCCACTCTGTCTCTCGTGAATCCTCTCACTTCCCCCTGTCCACCTACCCACTCACCTCTGGCCTACACCCCAGCTCTTCTATGCACAAATCAATTTTTAAAATATGAATAATTTTTAAAATAATAAAGATGGCGCAGCACTGTGAAACTGTCCGCAGCTTCCACAGCGCCGGTTTGATTCCCGGCCTGCCAGGGAGATTCCCACACATGGTGTGGCAGACCTCTCCTGTCTCGCCTGCTGCTCCCCTCAGCAGTGTATTTCCTTCTGCCTGTTCTGCTCCCTGCTCTGTCTCTGGTGGATTCTCTCACCCTCCTGTGCCTCTGGCCTGTACCCCAGTGCTTGTATAAATAAATAAATCTTTAAAATAATAATAATAATAATAATAATAAAGATGTCCATAGTGTGAATGGTCTTCTGAGGAGACACTCTTGAGCAAGACAGTTAAAAGAGCTGCTAAGGCAGTTCTGCTTTCTCCTTAGCTTTAAGGCAAATCCTTTCTTGGCAGGAAGCCACATTCTAGACCCATTGGCCTGCACACAGGGGAGTCCATGGTCCACCTCTTACCTACGATGTTGAACATGCAGAGGGGGCAAGTCCGATGCTGGTGTAGCCAGGGGTCCACACAGGCACGATGGAACTCATGGCGGCAGGAAATGACCCGTAGCTCCTGGAGGAAACAGGAAAATGAACCAAAGTTATCTGTAGCTCCAGGAAAGACCAGGAACCAGGACATCCCCCTGACTCCCTCTGGCCTCTCCTCGCGATCACCAACTTGCAAAGAACTCACAGTAGAACAGAAAAGGTCTAGGCTTTGGTATCAGGTAGACCTGGATTTTGCTACTTAGCTGCATGGCCTTGGGAAAATCTCTTAACAGTTTTCTGCTATAAAATGAGGATGAAAAACTAATCAACCCCTACTCCTCACAGTCATGAAGCAAAAATGAAATAATGCATCTAAAGCACCCATTGCAGAATCCGGCACATTGTACACACTCAACAAACAATGTTCTCCTTTCCTGGACAACCAGGAAAATGACAGAATCTCAGGGCCGTCCCCTACGTCTGCCCCAGGCAGGACACACATGGGTCATCAACGCAGCCAGAACATTCGCACCAACCTTCAAGTGCCCCAGGTTGCCCAAAGAGTCCTGCCTTACCTGGCCGTCAGAGAACTCCTCCAGGCAGATGGCACAGGCCGGGGCTGAGCTGCAACTGCTCCCTGAGTCTGGCCAGTCAGCCTGTGCCCTCCTACAGCTGGCCCGGTACCTCTTGGTGGCCAGCTGGCTGATAGCCCAGGCTGTTCGCTGCTGAAGGGGATCCTGGGAAGAGGAGTGGGACTCAGACGGAGGCAAGGGCTCCTCACCCTGAGACCCCAGCCATGGTCACCCATGAGATCACATGGCCAATGAACGACTCCTGGGAGTGAGTCCCTTCTGAAAACAGACGAGCTCTGCCAAGCAGGGCAACCACCCTACCCCCTCACACTACTAAGCTTTTCTCCCTTGAGAATTTTTCTCCTATGCGAGAAAATTTTTTTATCCAACTGCCTGCTTGATCTCAACCTGGATATCTAATGGGCATATCAAATTTAAAGTGCCCCAGACTGAACTTCCAGTCCCAGGAGTCACTCCCAATCATACATCATCCCCCAACCTCCCCATCTTAACACATGGCAATTCCATTCTTATATTCACTTGATCCAAAAATCTTGGTGCCATTAAGGACTCTTTTGCCTCTTCTCTTTCACACTCCATGATCGATCTATTAGTAAACTTTTGGCTTTGTCTTCAAAATATACCAAGAATCTAACTCACCACTTTCACTGCTAGCTTCCTAATCCAAGCTTCCGCTATTGTCACATGGATTGCCCGTAGAAGCCTCTGGATTGGCTTCTCTGTTTCTGCCTTGTCTCCCTGTCATCTGGTCTCCCACAATGGAGAGAGCAATCATGTTGAAACTTAAGTCAGTTCATGGTACTTCTGCCTGAAACCCTCCAATGGCTGCCAGAGTAAAAATTTTAGTCCTGACAATGGCCAAAATAGACCACTGCACTGGGCCCACATGGACTCTCTGTTCTCACCCTCTGCTCTGTCCCCTGGTTCACCTTATCCCAGCCACCTGGCCTACTAGCTGTAAGCCAGGCACACTTCTGCCTCAAGTCTCTGTACTTAGTGTTCTCTTCATCTCAATCACTTTCTACCCAGACATCTGCACAGATCACCCCCTTATCCACTAGGGGGTCTTCCCTGTAATGTCATCTTCTCATGAGGAGCAGAACAGGCAGACTGACTGAAATACACTGCTGAGGGGAACAGTGGGCAAGACAGGAGAGGTCTGCTGTGCCATGTGGGTTAGCTCCCAGGCCTAGAAGTTGCTGCTGATAGCTTCATAGTGCTGAGACATCCCCTTGTGCCACCAGGGAGACCCCTGTGGCTTTGCTTTTATTTTTTTTTTTTTTTTTTTTAAGATTTATTTATTTATTTATACAAGCACTGGGTACAGTCAGAAGCGCGGGAGGGTGAGAGAATTCACCAGAGCGAGAGCAGGGAGCAGAGCAGGCAGAAGGACCGAAGTACACTGCTGAAGGGAGCAGCGGGCGGCAGGAGAGGTCTGCGTGCCATGTGGGACCCTCCTCTGGTGGCCGGGGAGCAGCCGGGGATCGAACTGGCGCTGCAGAGGCTGCGGGCAGCTTCGCAACCCAGCGCTCAACCGCTGCGCCACCGGGGAGGCCCTGGCTTTGCTTTTAAAATGAAGCCCTGTCCCTTTTGCATTCCTGCTCCCCCTTCCTGTTTTATTATTCTCCCAAGCACATACCACCATCTAAAACACTACATTTTTTTTTTTTTTTTGTAGTCATCTAGGTTTTATTTATTTATTTTTTTGGGGGGGTAGTTTTTTTTTTATAATAAATTTTATTTTTATATTCCCTATACAATTGCAACCCCCCCATTCTGACCCCAATCCCTCCCCTCCCGCCCCCCACCCCCCAAAAAGTGTCTCTGGTTCATAGTTTTTTGTTGATTGTGATTTTCACTTTCTTATAGTTATTCATTTTCCTGGTCCCTTATTTAAGTTTTCTAGATTCCTGCTATGAGTGAGACCATCCGGTATTTTTCTTTTTCTTTTTGGCTTATTTCACTGAGCATGATCCCTTCCAGTGCCATCCATGTTGCTGCAAATTGCATGTAAAACACTACATTTTTTACTTATTTTATTATCTTTTTTTCCTAGAATAAAAACTCCTTGAGGCGGGGGGCCTGTTGTCTTTTTTGTCCACTATGTTATCCCTGCTGGGACTGTGCCTCATGCATATTAGGAGCTGGTTCTATTTCTTGAGTGAGCAACCAAGAAAACCTATGGAGAGAGATTGTTGGAAATAAACAAAGTCAGATGCTGGGCATTTAGGTGTAAACTGTTAAGTGGGCATAAAGGTGTGCCTTCTTTCCTCATTTTTCCCTTGCTGCTCCCCATCCTCACACACACACATACACACACCCACCTCCACCAGGGAGCCCACCCTGCTCACCGGCCTGTTATGGCGGGGACGGCACCGTATGCGCAGCACTGAAGTCAAGATGACCACGAAGATGGTGCCCACCACCGTCAGGAGGATCCACACATCGTAGTCTGGCTGAGGGAGTGAGCAGAGGTGGAAAGGGTCATATGTCTGGAAAGAGCTGGGCCAATTTGGGAGGAAACACAGGAGCCCAGCACAGCTAGAGGCCCCTCGGGCCTTCCAGTGGAAGGGTTAAAGCAGGGAAGAAACTGCAAGTGGGGTAAGGTGGTTCTTCTCTGTCTGAGGCACTCATAGGAGGGGGTTCTCCAGATGTCAGCTGGGAGAGGAACTATCTAAAAAATATCTAAAAACTATCTAAAACCTCACATACTTAGGAACAAGGGGAAAGGAGGCACTCAGCAAGGTGGGGACTGCTGAGTGAACAGCTGAGTAAGTTTCCTAGTAGGAAAGAAAGACCAGCTAGGTGCTCAGGGGTCACGATTTCTTTCTGGCTCTGCTAGTCTGTGCTGAAAACATGGAGCTGAAAACAACTTTAGAACTCAGTTGGCTAATCAGTTCATTCTGTAGATGAGACCCAGAGAGAGAAAGAAACTTGCTCAGAGGCACATGGCTGGTGGATAAAGGTGGACTAGAGGGTTTCTAAGGTCTTTTAGCTACAGGAGTCTAAGGGACTGGATGCGAGTGGCCACAGGCCAAAGTGGGGGTGAGAGCAGCTGGGGCAGGGGCTGAAGCTCTGGCATGCTTACCCAGGCCGGGGGTTCCTTCAGCTCAATCCTCACATGGGCCTTTCGGTTCTTGTACACAAACTCCATCAGCTTCTCAGCATCATGACCCCAGATCAATACCACTGGCCAAGTCAGCCCCAGGGGCTGCTGCAGCTGCAGGAGGAAAAGTGCCCAGAAGGGCTGCTGTGTTCTGACTTCTCCTGCCCCTGGTAACTTAATCTTCTTCCGTCCAGCCCCCTCCTCAAACACCTGATGTCCCTGGGTACCTGCTCAGCAGCCGCTCGGTCCTCGGTGATGTCAAAGAGGACGGCGCTGGCTCCTCGCTCACCTGCCATCCGGGCCTGCAGAGACACAAAGCAGAGACTGGCTGGGATCAGAGGACACAGCCTCTGTCCTCATGCCCCACACATCCATCCTTTCCTAGGATCCTACACACACTGCACCTCTGCACACTCACATGCAAGAGGTTGGTGGAACTAGGTTCCCTTGCCTGTCTTAAGCTGGGCTCCACTGCCTTCAAAGGACTACATTCAGGCCTTCCTTTTGTAATGGAACAAACTTCTTTAAAAAGGATTTACTAAGCTGGGCCTCCCCAGTGGCAGTGGCGGCGCAGTGGGTTGAGCGCTGGGTTGTGAAGCTGCCTGCAGCCTCTGCAGCGCCCGGTTTGATCCCCGGCTGCTCCCCGGCCACTGGAGGAGGGTCCTACATGGTGCACAGACCTCTCCTGCCGCCCGCTGCTCCCCTCAGCAGTGTACTTCAGTCCCTCTGCCTGCTCTGCTCCCTGCTCTGGCTCTGGTGAATTCTCTCACTCTCCCGTGCTTCTGACTGTACCCAGTGCTTGCATAAATAAATAAATAAATATTTTTTAAAAAAAGGGATTTACTAGGCTGATGGGTGATAGACGAGGCTCTGGGGTAAGGACAAACAAGACATAGCCCCTTCCCCTTCACAGCCCCTTGACGTTACACCAGTCTGCCTTCACTAGGAAATGAGACAACAGAGAGTTGGGAGTGACCAGTTTCCATGGGGGTGGGGGTGGGGGGCGTGTAGCAGAGAGTTGGAGAGATCCTTTAGAATAGAGTTGGGCCTTCCAGGATCCACGCTGCCTGACAAGAGGAGGCTGCGGGGCATCCCTCCAGCTCAGGCAAAGTTCCAAGAGCTAGGGACACTGCTCCCACCCAAAGTCTCCATGGCAGAGCCCCAAGCTCAGCCCATCGTGTGGCTCTCTCTCCCTGCCAAATTCTAGTTTGCCAACTCTCTCTGGCTTCAATTCAAGGACTTAATGGAGTCCCTGCCCAGGGCTTTATCCCCTCATTCCCTCCCTGAGGGTGGCACTAGAGGCGCTAGGTGGGGAGGCCCCACGGGCTATTCCCACAAGGACATAACTGCACACGCTTGGGGAAGCAGAGTCTAGCCAAGCAGGCAGAGCTAGAGCTAGAAAGAGACAAGCAGGCATCTAGGGGTTCTTGGGGGGGGCGGGGTAAAAGAAGATAACAAGTGAGGGTGGGGTACAGGCACAAGGGTAAAGACCAACAGACTTCCTGGCTTTACAGTCAGTCAGGTCTCCCTGCCCAGCAGGCTCTGCAGACTTCCTCTCTCCAGCAGGCCCATCTTGTAATGGCACCAGGCTGGAATCTCATGCCCCTGCTGGCCTGCTGAATCTTTGGGGCCTTCCTGCAGGCATCGAAGGAGTTAATCCTCTGCAAGTAGTGGTGGCAGGAAGAGAAGCCAATGCTGGGGCTTACTCACACTCTTACTGCTTTGATCTCTGCTTCCCTTCCCTGGGAGAGCCTGTCAGGGCAGGTCTCCTGCCAGGCAGGCCTGGGAGCAGCAGCCCCCTGCTCCCCACTCCCTGCTCTACACTCCCAGGTGGCAGCAAGGGCCAGGGGGCCCCTCAGACCCAGAAGCCTGCAGGCAGAGGAGCTGGTGAGGGTGGTGGAGACACTAAAGTGGGGCCCCATTTTGGTCAGGAGGATAACTTTCCCTCCCTCCCTCCCTTCCTCCCTCCCTCCTTCCCGCTTCCTCCCTCCCCAGGAGCTGGGCCAGGCCCTCTAGCAGCACCCAGGCCTAGCCCTGGCCCAGGCTCGCCAGGATAATTGACTAGAAATGCAATGGACTCAGAATGGAATTGTTGAAGAAATTGAGGGGTCACAGACTTCATCGTCGCCTCCTTCCCATTTACGTCCAGGAAGTCCACCCCACCTGAGGTGACCTCAGGCAAAAAGAAGCTCTTCAATCTTCAGAGACTTCTAAACCAGGGTATGGGTACAGCTTAAGGGGAAAAGGAGGAGTCTCTCTGCTAATCTCATAGTCCAGGGACTTGGGGGAGGGGGAGGAGGGGAGGTCACCCCAGTGGTCACAGAATTGAGACTCCTGCATTCTCTGTGCTGCCAGCTGCCAGGGCCTCGTGTTTCCCATTCCCGGAATGAGACCCTGGACCCAGCCCACCCCGAAAAGCATGAGGGAAGGGCACAGACTTCCTTCTCTGGAGATTTTCTTACATCCCCACCCTTCTCTCTTTGAAGGATTGGGGTAGGAACAGTGGAAAGTAATTACCATGACATTCAAACACCCCAGCCCATTACAGCCCATAATTACAAAGTTGTAAAAGTGATCAAAAAGAGTCCAGAGAGTTGGCCAACAGGGAAACAAACAGGACTTTCAGGCAGTGGGTGCCTGTGTCCAGAGTTCTAGGAATCAAAAAAACAAGATTTGGGGCCAGATGGCAGCCCATTCTGGGGCTATCCATGCCTCCCTCCAGCTCACTTATACTCAAGAAAGTTGGCGGGATGGAGAAAAAGGAGGACTTTGGTGGGGACTGAAATCTGGAAGGCAGAGAGAGTCTGAACAGGAAGACTGGACTTTAGAAAGACATCCAGAGACCTCCTTGGCAGCTGCAAAGAGTCAACCAGTCCCCTAGGGGCAGCAAACAATACTTCCCACAGCCTTTAACAACGGGAATTGTTACAGAGAAAGCAGAGAGAGTGAGCTGAAGTGCGGCCTCTGCCTCTCTGGACTGTCCCTGGGCTCATGGTCAGCTGCTGCACTTCTTTGGGCCTTACATGTTTCCCTCCAGGTAACAGTGACATTCTCTGTCTATCTTCCTCTTATCAAAGATTGACACCTACTGTGCCCAATGCACCAAGCCAGGGAAGACCAGGTCCCCCACATCAGCTTACCAGCTAGTTGTTGAGACAAGGCATAGATAGACAGACAGAGAGAGAGAGACAGAGAGAGAGAGAGAGAGAGAGAATTATAATGCTGATAACAACATTCCAGAGTACAAATGAATGCAGTAGAGCAGAGGTTTCCAAGCCTTTTCTCATTGCAGAAAATCCTTCCTTCCGCCCCCTCCACAAGCACATGCACGCTCACACACACACACACGCAAAATCGGACACAAATCTTCAATATACAAAACAGATCAAAGTGAGTTGAGGTTGAGGGTGAGATTGGGGGTCAGCACTGTCAGATTCCTCTACTTCCCAAAACACCTCCATGAAACAAGGTGTAGAAAGCATGGAAGAGCCCATGGCCGCATGCCAGGGAGGAAGGGGGTTTCTGAGCCTTGCAGGTTAGCTGGAATGGGCCAGTCTAGAAAAATTCAATAGAAGAGGTGGGAGTCATCAGGGCTTGAAAGCAAGGGTAGAAGGAAGTAGAAGGGATGTAACCTTTGTTAAGATCCACTCTGCCCAGATTTGTGCCCTGAGACTACCACTAACTTTTAGCTGTGAGACTTTAGTAAGTCACTTAACTGCTCTGTGCCTTAGTTTTCCTTCCTATAAATTGGAGATAATAAGACAACTTACTTCATTGGGTTGTTTTGAGGACTATATAAGTTAATCTATGTATAAAGTCTTAGAATAAATAGTGCCTGGAACAGAGTGAGTGTCCCTTAAGTATTAGTTAATCAGCTATTCCTCTGGTACATTCCTTGCATACATGATTTCATTTATTTCTCACAACCACTCTATAAGACAGTTATCAGTTTCACTTTTGAGTGGAGAAAACCAAGGCTGAGAGAGACTGAGTAACTTGCCCAGACCACACAGCTGATATCCATGGAGCAGGATTTCCACCCTGTACTTCAGCCTTTGGATACCTGGTTACCAGGGAATGGTCTCTATGGTAAGAGAGGCACAGCTTGTACCCATCTGCTTGCCTCCGGAGCCAATTCCTTCCACCAGGGATAAAGTCATGCACAGGTCCAGGCATGAGGTGATGAGAACCTACACAGACCAGGATGGCTGGAGAGTCGCTAATAAACAGAAGCCAACTTGGGTGACCAAGCAGAGGACTAGTGGTAGTGGCGGTGATAAGAATGGAAGAATGCATAACCATGGGGATGGTTTCAGAAATCAAGAAGGATTAACAGTGAAAGAAGAACCCAACCTTGTTAACTATAAAAGCATGGGATGAAGGTGCCAGTGATGACAATGGTGATTGTTCTGATTGTTTACTGAGTGATTACTATGTACTTGGCATGGGGCTGCACTTCCAGCTGTACTGTCTCATTAAATCCTCATTATCTTATGGTTTATGTCCCATTACTAGTCCCCTTTTACAGATGAGGAACGGAGACCCAGAGATGTGAGTTAAAATGTTCAGGTCCTCTGAGGATCAGCAGCAGAACAGGCTGAGAGCGGGGCTCTCTGGCTCTGTTGATGTGAAGGCAACACCAGCACTGACAGAGATGACCAAGCAGGCCAGATGGTGTCAGCAGTTCTCAAAGGTTCCTCACCAAAGACCCTTCTGCTCCCTGTGCCTCCCATGAGCCATATTTTAAAAAAAAAAAAATGCTGTATTAAACTAATTTTGATACATACAATTTATCTTCCAGTGACATAACTTGTAATAACACACTAAACTGAGGGAATTCCAACCAAAAGCAAAATGAGCATTTTAATTAAATTTGTGGGACTCTGAGATATTGGAAATAACTCAAAGACCCACATGTCTACATTCAGCGACCTCATTTGAAACAAAAGATCCCCTAATTCAGTGAGATCAAATGCTGATGTGGGGCTGACCAACTGGAGAACGTGGCCAGAGTAGTTTCCATAGCATGAGGGGGAGAAGTAGGGCAGCAAATATGGGTGGGTGTTGGGAGCACATGCAGTGACCACAGAGGCTGGGAAAGAAAAGAGGTCACAGGTGCTTCGTGAAACCCCTAACGGCCCTTTAGGTTTTATTTGTTTTAGCTCAGGCACTTTCTGGCATTTGACACACTTTATCTTCACCTCACAAGGATCACTGGGGCAGGACATAAAAGTACTATTTTATGGTAGTGGAAACAAAGGCCCAGCAAGATTAAGTACCTCAAAGAGTACTGCCCACATGCCCTTTGCTTCCCAGTGTCTGTATACATGTCTTACTTCTCCTACAGGATTCGGTCCCCCAGAGGGTGAGAAGAAACACCTCCCTTAGGTTGTCAGGTGTTCACACCTGCATGGATCCATGCACTGCTTTAGAAGAACAGCCAAGTTTTCCCTAGCCCTTCATCCCTGTGTCTGTCTCTGTCACACATACTCACACACACATTCTCCGCTCACACTCACACAGTACCTAACTTCGAGCACACATTTACCAAATCGAAACATGAATGACACTTGTCCATATTTTCTAAAACAAGGGACGTATCCAGAGACAGGGGCGCTTCAGCCTAACAAAATCTCTTGCAATGAGTTTCGCACTCTCAGCTCTTCAGGTGTGGCCTGACTCCCACTTTCCTCCTCCATGAGACCCCTCTTCTGCATCAGCAGAGGTCCCGGTGGGGGGAATGTCTTCCCTACCTGTGGGCACCACATTCAGAATCTTGTCTACATCCCCGCCTGCTGTGGGCTCAGGTAAGAACCCACGGTGCTTCCTTCAGGCTTGTGGCTCCACTTCCTCAGCCCTCAGGAGGATTGGGAAATCCTCTAGGGGTCTGGGCCTGAGTAGAATGACCAGGCACACAGGGTGGAACTGTCATGCCCCCCTTCCATCAACCAGGGAGCAGGGCCCCCTCCCCCAAGTCACAGTCTGTGCCACACACATGTAACATCACTCTTATCCATGAAAATCTTTTCACAGAAGAGTGGTTTTCCTTTCCAGAATGGGGAGGAAAAAGCAGAGAGATGAAATGCTCAGGTTTGAGAACTGGTTCAAATCTGAGCTCTACCACTTCCAAGTTTGCACCACCCTGGCAAGTTACTTCAGCTTTCTGATCCTCACTTGCTTCACATGTCAATTAGAGAATAATAATGTCTAGCTTTCCTAATTGTTGTGAAAAGTAAATGAGATAATAGATGTAATCTGTCTCATATCCCACCTGGCATGTGTGGTGAGCGCACAGAAAGCGGCAACTAATATGAAAGCTGCAACTAATATGAAAGCAGAGTCACAAATGCAAATATTTATGGGGCCTGCGAGGTAGTGGGCTAGTGGGGAATATGGCAAACTAGGGATCACATGGCTGGGGAAAGGGAGTGGCAGCAGCCAGCTCTAGACAGGGGTGCCCAATGTGAGTGTGGGGTCACAGGTTTGCTATCTTGGAAGAAGACTATGAATTTGTAAGGGGTAGGGGCAATGGCTTCTGTTTCCACTATTCTTGCAAGGTGCTCAGTAAGTATTTCTGACTCTCTCGTTGCTCTGATACTGGGCAGGGATGGGGGGTGATTAGGAATTTCCAGGTGAGGAGAAGGGGATGGGGGGGGGGTGGTGCATGCCCTAGACGACAGTCAAAGGTCTTCCTGGCAGATGGTTTATGGTAAAGGACAGAGACCTGAATTTCCAACCCTCTGAGGCCAGTCATGGGGTTAGAAAAACCTGGGGAATTAGGCACATCACTCTCAGGACAAAAGGGGAGAACAAGCACTGGGGCCTCTTACAGCCCTGAGATGGGCCAAGTTCAAACATGATTCTACCTTGTTGGCCAGTGACAGGCAGGGCCGGGGGGCCCGTTGGGGACTCTCCAGCTTGACAATGCTGATGAATCCAGGCTCCAGATGGTCGTCATCACTGGCGTTGCACAGGTACAGAGGGTGGGACTGCAGAGAGAGAGAGAGAGACTGGGTTAGGGAGGCTCGAAGGGAGCAGGAGTGAGTTGTGAGCACCAAGTACTTCTGGGTTCTAGGCCCTTATCAGGCAGAGAGAGCAGGCCTTCTTAATGGACTGCTTCACAGTAAGTTAGTAACTACTAGTTGTCATTTCAGGGGTGCCAGTGAGGGTAAAGGATAAATGGAGATGGGACAGAGTGAGCAAGGGGTGTTCAAAAGGAAGAGCTTGCTGCAAAGCAATTCCAATGACCCTCAAGTCCTGGTTTTCCAAATTGGCCAGAACAGAGGGCTTGTCCTAGCCCTAGCCTCTCTTACCTGCTGATTCTTCCAGCTTCTCCCAAACCCCGGCCAAGAGAATATCCACGTGTTCCTTTGTCAGTGTCCTCAGAATCTTCCCTTCCCTCCTTGCTCCCCAAGTGGGTGCTGCCTCCTCAAGATTCCCTACCACCACCCCTGCCCAGTAGCTACTGCCCTGTAGATTCCCAACCACCATGGGGCCTGGATCTTCTCACTCGACACTGCTTGCTCCTCTCAGTAACCCCCTTTGCCCCTGCTCTATGCCTACCCTAAAATTAAGCAGGGTACTAACAGGGAGAAGAGACTTTTTTGATAGAAGGCTTGGCTAAGAGTAAAGCCTGGAACAGCATAATTCCAAAGGGGGACATCCCAGGTAATACCCTGTCCCCAGGAATGATGCCCAGGAGATGGAGCCAGCTCAGCACCTCTGCTCGAGAGTAAGGGAGGTCAAGTTCAAGACAACATAGCCTGGCTGGTGCTAAGCAGTGACTACCCAATGCATGCTAACAGAGACTGGATGAAAATGCCCTTTTCTAGTCTCTCTTCTCATTCAGTCTGATTCCAACACCCATTTGAATCAAAATTTTCCAGAGTGCTGTGAATACAAAGTATTTGGCTCTGGATAATCCTGGGGGCCAGGGACTCCCACATTGTGGAAAGAATCAAGAGAGAGGAGCTGCCCACGCCTCCTTTTCCACTGCTGTTGAAATCTAAAGGACTTCTAGAAAGAAGATAATGTCAATGATAAAGGTATAGCCACTATTTAAAAGCACCTTAAAGTCATTTCTGTCACTGTAGTACTGCAGTCCCTTGAACAAATATAACCACCTTGTTTTGAATTATATATTTGTGAAGAAAAATCTTTGGGCAGGGGTGTTGAGGGGAAGGAATTCCATTCTTACCCCCAGAATAGCCAAGGGCTATTAGTCTGGGGGTGATCAAGGTTTAGTGTGGGAGAAAGTTTATGCAACCCTCTCCACCCCTAGAAAAGTTTGGCACATAAGATCAGGGGTTGTTCTCACTTGCCTCTACAAGCTCCACTGGTCTATGTTTGTCCATCTGTCCAACCATGTGTCCACTCATGCCCACATTCTACCCACACTGAATTGCCCCCCTCAGTGCTAAGCTCTCAGGAGCCAACAATGAGTAAGACAGGCCTCTTGCCTTAAAGATGTTAGAGGATAACAGTGTGAACCCACGGCACTGTGCTGTTACTGTGCAGTTTTGTTCAAAGGCCTGTGGGAGGACGCAAGGAGGGGTGCCTAACAATCCCCCGTGGGAGGGCTGAGATACTTTCACAACAGGTGACTTCAGCGCTCTCTTGGGAGTGGGTATGTGTTCACTCAATGGGCCAACAAAAAGGGGTACTGCATTCCTTGAAGAGGAAGCAGCCTGTGCCAAGGCTGGTGGGACTGTGCAGTTAGGCCTGGCATGAAGGGAAGGCGGGGACAGTCAGCAAGAGCCAGACCAGGGAGCAGGGCCCACAGGTTTGCATCTGAGAAGGGTCCACCTGGTGAGTACAGAGGACAGTTGGGTGTGGTGAAGAGTCAGCTGCCAGCTGCTCTAACCAAATGAAAGATACAAGACCTTCCTTCAAGAAGAACAAATCGAAGCCACGGAAGTCTACTGCTTCACTGGCTCCCTCCCCACCCAAAGTCCAGCTTTCTCATGATGACACCAGGATGCCTCTCGCTGACCAGAGGGTCAGTTGGGAGGGAGGAAAATCACTTTGGAGAAGAGTGGTCTTTAGAGAAGGTTTGCAAATATTTAACTACCAATCTGCTCCAGGCCTTCACAGGGGGACCAGTCTGGTATAGCGTGGTGCTGTATTGGAGGGTGCCTTGACAGGTGGAGGGGAAACACTTGTTAGAGTCACCAGACCTCTCTGGCCCTCCCTGTGGAAGAGGGAAGGGGAGGAAATGAACCGTTAGGGAACACCTCCAGAGAACCAAGGCCCTTAGATGCTATCTCACTAAGAGATAGGTATGATCATTCCCATTTAAAGAGGAAGAAGCTTGAGGCTCCAGGCCACACAAGATTAGAACTCAGCTCTATCTGACTCCATCCTCTGGAGTCAAGTAACTCCAAATGTACCCACAGACAGTCTTCCATTGTCCACGCTAATAATTGATGATGATGATGGTGCTAGTTTACATTTATTGAGTAAATACCGTGGACCAGTGATTATTTTTTAAACTAAGGTAACACTGGTTTACAACACTGTATGATTCAGAAATATAGGATCCTACTTCTTCAGGGGTATGTTACCATATCACACCCACCACCAAGGTACCCACAGTCTTTTACTACGATCCACTGACCCCCTCACCCCTTTCCTCACCTCCATTTTATTTTATCATTTTTTAAAAGATTTATTTTATTTATGCATCCAAGAACTGGGGTCTAAGCCAATGGTAAGGGGGTGGGAGTGAGAGTATTCACCAGAGACAGAGTGGGGAGCAAAACTGGCAGAAATACTGACTGAAATACACTGCTGAGGGGAGCAGGGGGCGAGGCAGGAGAGGTCTGCTGCAACATGTGGGTTAGCTCCCTGGCCGGGTATCAAACTAGTGCTAAAGTGGCTGCAGACAGCTTCACTGTGCTGAGACTTAACCCTTTGTGCCACCAGGGAGGTCCCTCACCTCCATTTTCAAGATGAGGAAACTGAGGCACTAACCATGCCCATTCTTCTTCCTTTAGAAGAAATGGAAGGAAGTAGGCCAAGATTTTCAAAAGTTGATAACGATTGCTGACTGACTTTGAAAATATTATGCTTTCCCTCAACTCATGATCAGGAAATTTGCCTTCCTAATAACACATTCCTAAAGTATAGTGACCCAAACACAGGTCCCTGAAATAATGCTGGTGATGCCAGGATTCCGACCCACACCTTCTCTTTTCACTCTTGTTTTGAACTGTATCCTTGTGAAGAATTGTATCCATGCTCCCCCAGATGACCCCAGCCTATCCCATGGCTTCGGTTTCCATGTAGAAGTCACTGATTACATCTGTGCAGCTCAGACCTCTCTTGAGCTCCACACCTATATATGTCCAGCAGGCCATGCCTGGCCATTTCTACCTGGAGAAACTTTAACAAGGCATCTCAAACATAGCATCTCCAAAATTTGAACTAATCATTTCATTCTCTCCAAACAACTCCTCCAGAGTTCCCTATTTTAGGGATTGGAACCACTATCCACCTACTATGCAAGTCAGATGTGGTCCTCCTACCTCCTCTCTCTCTTCACCCCACCACCACATCCAAGCAATCAGCAAATTCTAACAGTTCCATCTCCTAAACCTTTCTCGTTTGTCCTCTTTCCTCCATTCCCATGGTGGCTACTCCAATACAGGCCACCATAGTGATTGCAATTTACTGAAATAACCTCTTAACTGGGGTCACCTTGCTCCATTCCATTCTCTACACTAAAGCCAACATGGTCTAAACTGCTAACTTGAGCATGTCACTCTTCCACTTTAAGCTCTCTGAAGGACCCTCATAGCTCCTGGGATAAAGTCTGGACTTTCAACATTAGCTTCAGACTGTGCCTGCTTTGGGCTTATGGCTTTATGCCTCGCTTCATGGCTTATCTATTGCCTTCCCATCCTTTCCCTCCACTGCAACCTGTGCTCAGAAGTAACCTCTTTCACGTCCACACTTTTGGCACTTGCTACCCTATCGGGACAGGTCAGCGGACCCTCTGGGTCCCTACTTCCCCAGGTATTTAGCGGTCACTTACTTCCCTTTCGCCCCCAGGCTATGGTTGACCTCCCCTGCTCCTTCAGTGCCTGCCACAGAGTAGGAACTCAATATTTCTTGATTAAATATTGAAGGTCTACAACCAGATAACTGATAGTTAACTATAAAGATAACACACTGAACACCACAATCCTGATACTGGCGACTTTGAGAGAGGAGTTAGTGAGCAAGTGGGGAAGACAGGCTGGTGCTTTGCTGTGAATACTACAATCAAAGGCTAATATATGAAATAGGAAGTTGTTTTCGTGGTGGTGGAAGTAGAAGAGAGAATGAGAGCTACTGACATTTTGTCCTGTGTCTTTCCCTCTTCCCATTCCAAGGCAACTGCCACCTCTTATTTTCTTGCCTCCGGGGCATTTGCTGAAAGCAAATGTTGCTAAAGACCAACTCTGAGAAAATGTGAATGTCCTAAGGGCAGAAGAGTGTGGCTGGGGTGGGGTTGAGGAGAGGCAGAGTTCCAGGAATCCTGAGGGAGGGGTGACAGGCCAGGGATGTACCAGACTGGGGGAATCTGCAGCTTGTGTCCCCCAAGGGTGGACCCGAGGAGGCTGGGCCTTGGAGAAGCTGATGCGCTACCTGGACTTCAGTGGGGTCACCTGTACTTGCACAAGGGGCATATTTGTGGCGACCAGCCTGGACATATACCCCCTTAGGTATTTCAGTTTACCTAAAATCCCAGGACCTCTGAGCTGCTTTGTGAGAGGATATTCCTATGAAAACAAATTTCCACCCACCTCGTGGGTTAGGACCTTGAAGTCAGATTTAATTTGATAAAAAGAAAATCAAGTACTATGATATTTCTTGTGTGGTCATATTTGGGATATGAAAACCATACTCAACCATACTTTTGAATGGTTTGATTCTTTTATGACAAGAGTTTTTCAAGTATTCTCAGATTAAAAAATGAAAAGAAAACAGGCATTCCACCCCTATG